CAACAAATTTAAACAGCACTTTTCAGTGCTCAACCTGTAAAAAATTTCTACCTTGTTCAACTCCTCTTATTCCTCTTCGATCCTTGTTTGGACCCTACCCGAGGTAATCCTTCTTGGATATCGATTTGGAAAATTCCTCTTCGATCCTTCAGATTCTTATAGTAATCTGCTTGGAAGTCGATTTGGATAAAAAATCTACTGCCGCCATGGCGCCTAAACGCAAAAGAAAGGGGCAAACTCTTGACCCCCCTTCTGAAGAAATTAATTTGAGTAATCAATTTGATTTGCTCACGGATGATGAGAATGATCCATCATCCAAGAAAAATTCTAGTAAACTTTCCCGGCTTAATGCCAAGAAGGAAAAGATTCCCCCTATTGTGATAACCACTACCGATTTCCATGCTCTTCGCATGGAACTTTTGAATTTCGTGAAAGTTAAGTTTTCACTACAAATTGGACGTCGGGGTGAATGCCGTGTATTGGCTGAAACCTTGGACGGATTTAAATGTCTTCTCAAGTATCTTACTGAGAAGAAGCACAAATTTTTTACTTACGACACCAAAACTGAACGTGTGTTCAAGGTTGTCATGAAAGGACTGCCCAGTGGTGAATCCCTGGATCAGATCAAAGATGAACTGGCAAAATTACTTGGAGTTGTGCCACTCCAAGTAATCAAAATGAAAATGAAATCCCGTCCTGGCGATTCGCGCAACGGGATTTCTAATGATTTTTATTTAGTTCACTTCAAGTCTAGTGAACTAAACAACCTTAAGGCCTTAGAAAAAGCTAGCCTTATGCTCCATGTCCGAGTGAAGTGGGAACACTTCAGGAAGACTGGAGGAAATTTCCAAAACCTCACTCAGTGCCGTAAGTGCCAGGGATGGGGTCACGGAACTAAAAATTGCTACATGCCAGCTAAATGCATGAATTGTGGTGATTCCTCTCACGCAAAGGACGACTGTCCTGTGAAGGAAGATCCTAAGAATTTTAAATGTTCAAATTGTGGTGAAAACCACAAATCCAATTTTTGGGAATGTAAGACTCGCAAAGCGATCCTACAATCTCGTTCTAACCGTCAGGTAGGAAACGCTCCACGTTTCCGACCAGGTACAAATTCCTCTGCTGTTAACAACGGTCAGCGAGGAACAAATTCTACATTCGTACCCGTAGGTACAAATATCTCCCCTGCTTCAAATGTTTCATCTGTACCTACTCCCCTCGCTGCTAACAATGTTCAGCGAGTTAATGGAGCTACCTATGCTGCTATTGCAGCGGGTAGAAATCAAAATACTAACCAACGTTCTAACGGAAATTTTGACAATTTTGACTTAGGAAGCATTACTGCCCCCAAAATGGAATTTTTACAGAATTCATTAATTGACATGATTTCTGATATGCTTAAATCTAACTCCATGTTTGATGCTATTCAAACTGGAGTAAAATTTGCAAATAATATTGTCATGACTTTAAAATTCAGTAATGGATTTTAAAGCATTAAATATTGTAAATTGGAATGCTCGATCTCTTAAAGATAATGAAGACGAGCTATTTAACTTTTTAAGAGTTCATAACGTGCATATTGCCGTTATAACTGAAACGTTCCTTAAACCTGCCCATAAGGTTAAGAAGGACGCAAATTACTTGATTTATAGAAATGATCGTCTTGATGGACCCTGTGGTGGCGTTGCCATCATTATTCATAGACGAATCAAACATAAAATTCTTTCTTCATTTGAAACCAAAGTTTTTGAAACTTTGGGAGTTTCTGTTGAAACAAACTTTGGACAACTTACGTTTATAGCTGCCTATTTGCCATTCCAATGCGTAGGCCAGCAAAAGAATTTTCTCAAGGGTGACCTCCAGAAACTTACCCGTCATAGGTCTAAATTCTTCATTATTGGTGATTTTAATGCAAAACACCGCTCATGGAATAATGCTCAAAGCAATTCCAATGGTAATATTCTGTTTGATGATTGTTCTGCAGGTTATTACACTATTCAATATCCAAACAGCCCAACATGCTTTTCTTCTGCAAGAAATCCCTCCACTATTGATTTGGTATTAACTGATTCATGTCAACTTTGTAGCCAATTGGTTACCCATGCTGACTTCGGTTCTGATCACCTTCCAGTAACTTTTGAAATATCCCAAGAAATAATTTGTAATCCCAACAGCTCTACTTTCAATTACCATAGAGCTGATTGGGACCAGTATCGAACATTTATGGAATATAACTTCGATCCAAACATTCCTTTGCAAACCAAAGATGAAATTAATTATGCTCTTGAATCTCTGACTACTTCTATAGTTGAAGCAAGAGCTGCCTCAGTACCAAAATGCGAGGTTAAATTCGATTCAATTATAATAGACGACGATCTTCAGCACTTGATCCGTCTTAAAAATGTCCATAGGAGACAATATCAAAGAACACGCGATCCTGCCATGAAAGTTATCTGGCGGGATTTGCAAAAACAAATTAAAAAGCGATTCTCTGCCCTGAGGAACAAAACTTTTGAAAATAATATTTCTAAATTAGACCCGAGTTCCAAACCCTTTTGGAAACTCACAAAAATTTTGAAAAAACCTCAAAAGCCTATTCCAGCGCTTAAAGAAGGTGGTAAAATTTTGATCACAAATTTGGAAAAAGCTCAGAAACTTGCTAAGCAATTCGAGAGTTCCCATAATTTCAGTTTGGGTCTTACTAGTCCTATTGAGAATCAGGTTGCTCGGGATTTTCTGAATATTTTCTCTCGGGAAAATATTTTTGATGATTCCTGGGGGACTGATTTGGACGAAGTAAGGTCTATAACTAAAAATTTTCAAAATATGAAAGCTCCAGGTGATGATGGAATTTTCTATATCCTCATCAAAAAACTCCCAGAGAGTACCTTGTCTTTCTTGGTAAAATTATTTAACAGATGTTTCCATTTGGCATACTTTCCTGATAAATGGAAAAATGCAAAAGTTGTTCCAATTTTGAAGCCGGATAAAAATCCAGCTGAAGCTTCTAGCTACCGCCCAATAAGTTTGCTTTCTTCAATAAGTAAACTTTTTGAAAAGATAATTTTGAATAGAATGATGCTTCACATCAATACGAACTCAATTTTTGCAGATGAGCAGTTTGGATTTCGCCATGGGCATTCAACTACTCATCAACTCTTAAGAGTTACCAATTTAATTCGTTCAAACAAATCTGAAGGCCACTCAACTGGAGTTGCTCTTCTAGACATAGAAAAAGCATTCGACAGTGTTTGGCATGAAGGTTTGATTGCTAAATTGAAAAAGTTTAATTTTCCACTTTACATTATGAAATTAGTTCAAAATTATTTAACTGACAGAACTCTGCAGGTAAATTATCAAAATTCCAAATCTAATCGACTACCTGTTAGAGCAGGAGTTCCTCAGGGTAGCATTCTTGGGCCTATATTGTATAACATTTTCACTTCGGACCTCCCTGATTTGCCTCAGGGTTGCCACAAATCTTTGTTCGCTGATGACACAGGCATTTCCGCTAAAGGAAGAAGTCTTCGTGTTATTTGCAGCAGACTGCAGAAAAGTTTAGATATTTTCTCTTCTTATTTACAAAAATGGAAGATTTCTCCCAACGCTTCCAAAACTCAACTTATAATATTTCCACATAAGCCCAGGGCTTCCTTTTTGAAACCTAGTAGTAGTCACATAGTCACTATGAACGGAGTTCCAATTTCCTGGTCAAACCAAGTGAAATATCTTGGATTAATACTTGACCAAAAATTAACTTTTAAAGATCACATTGAGGGCATTCAAGCCAAATGTAACAAATATATAAAATGTTTGTATCCTCTTATTAACAGGAAATCCAAACTTTGCCTGACGAATAAACTTCTAATATTTAAACAAGTTTTTAGACCGGCCATGCTTTACGCTGTGCCAATATGGTCTAGTTGTTGCACTACCAGGAAAAAAGCACTTCAAAGGATTCAGAACAAAATTCTGAAGATGATTTTGAAGTTGCCTCCCTGGTACAGTACTACCGAAGTACATAGAATTTCGAATGTTGAGACTTTAGCACAAATGTCCAACAAAATAATTAATAATTTCCGGCAAAAATCGTTACAATCCTCAATTGCAACGATTAATTCCCTTTATACTTAGATAAGATTTAGTTTTAGTTATTTAGTTTTAAGCTATCAATTGTTATACTGACATGCAGGTTTAAAAAACCTGTTTAAAATACTGAATTGCCAAGACAGGAACAATGTAAAAACACTTAGATATATATCATAACAATTAAGGCTGGTAAGTTACTGTAGTAACTGGAGCACCTAGGTTAAAAATGAAATGTAATTTATTTTGAATTTGGAACAAATAAAGAGTTAAAAAAAAAAAAAACAAAAAAAAACTTAGGGCCTAATCCATTGTTCGGTTTGATGTCCATCTGTTGTCAGTAGTTGTTTTCTGACGAAAGCGTAATAACGCTTGAGCATTTTAAATGCTTCAATTCGATGATTCACTGGAAACACTTCCAATTACATGACCGTTTAAATTATTAAACTCCAATTAATTCACATTGCATTCAAGCAGCGCTTCGATCTAATCTGCATTTCTCATACCCAACCGTCAGTGTAGAATCATTCAAAGCGAATGTTCTTCCTGGCCAATGCACGGCGAATACGCCATGGGCTAGGTTGGATTGATTCTCAATTTTTAATCACATCACCTCACTCACGGCCCGCTTCAATCGGTCACGACATACATTCACCTGTCAGGAGCAGGAACACGGCACTCTGACCTTCATTTCCATCATGCAGAGCCCAGGCATGTGTTGCATCATATTAGATAATCTTCCATTCAAAACGACGCAATATTTCCTGTCGCGTGTGACGTCAGTGCGCGGTACGGTTGAAATGACTTCCATGTGCTTCCGATTCGTGTTTACACGAAGGAAATGATTGCACTAGCTAATATGTTTAACAATTCATAAAATATCCTAGATCTACGATTGTCCTCAACCCACTTACCTTTTCGTTGTAAATTTCCAGGAAGGAAGCTTTCAGCACAAAGTTCGTATCCTTCCGTTCCTGGAGTAATTTGAATAGATAGAGAAATGATCGAAATACCAGCCCGTGGTTTTCGTGCTGCGGATCGGGTTTTCCGAAGAACTGTTTAAAAAAAATCAAATTAAAACTTCGATAATTATTCAACCAGAACTGACACGTTACCAATTCCGGTGGTCCCGTGAGGGTATGTGTCTTCCCGGAACCCGTCTGCCCATAGCAGAACGCCGTACAGCTGAATCCTTCGATTGCCATTTCGATCAGCCGTTTAATGCCGGAATACTCCAGCACATCATCCTGCGTTGAACCCGGCTCGAAGACTACGTTGTAGGAAAACAGTTTCGCCTTCTGGCCGGCACTACCCGGTGCAGCTGGGATACCATCGCACTGCCGGAAGAAACGTATTTAGAACACCCATCAAAGAGGGAATCAACTTTGCACTTACCAGGATTTGACCGTTTCCGGGAAACTGAACCACCATATCGTCGGCATTGCGGACATTCTTCACGTTCAGTGGCCGTACCCGCACCACGACGTTTATGTTGTCTTCCGGTGTGCCCGGAGCCGAACTGCCGCTGCCATTCGAAGACTGTGTGATGTTGTCCAAGTTATCGATACTGCCGCGGCTGGAATGCGGGAAATGGGATGATTCAGGTTCATGTTATTTCAATTTGCAGTGGATGGATTTCCATTTATGGACAGAATCAATGTTATTGAAATTATTCATGTTATGGGATTTCATAGCTAAATGATTCAAAACATGTGACTCTTAAAGCCGAGTACCGTTTCTAAATATCCTGGAAATAACGATAGTTGTTTGGATATTTTAACAGCACTCATTTGTTTTAAGGTAAGGGTATACTCAAGACGCTAAAAATAGCCAAAAGAAAGTATTTTTTGTTCCTAATTCGGACTTCCAATTCGAATCTAAAAGCATTTTCATTGCTAGGTACTGATGATATCTGAAATCTGTGATAGGGATTACCATACCATACCACTATTTTTTCATATTATTGAGAATAACCCTAACTCGATTTAGAAAATTTTCTCTTAATCGGTCAATTCAAGAGATACAAAAAAGTTCCTTTTTACAAAGTTGCATGAAATTAGCACAGCTGTAACTTTGCCAAAAAATGTATACATTAGTTTCTTCAAACAAAAAAGTTAAATTTTTGATTTCAATGATAGTAAGAACCACCCTAGAATTCATTGGCATAAAAATGAGGGCCTAACTATAAGGAACCACTTTGTAGAAAATAGATTTTGTCTAAAATTTCAATTTCAGGCTAAAAACTTATCGTTCCACCTAAATCTATATTCCGGACCACCACCGGGCCAAAACATCATTTTCGTTCCCTACCTTACAACGTGCACATTTTAGCAAGGAAAATGATATATTTACGACTGGAAATGGTTGACTGAAATTAATATCTCTTTTTTTATAATGCGTTTATTTTTCCAGGCTCATTTGCTGTAGCTTTGCGGAGCCTACATTCATTGTTTAGATAACAAAATTACTTAAAACTAACGTTAGTAAAGCAGGAGCCGATTGCTCGTGGCTAGCTCGAGATTAGAGGTAACAAATTGTAACAAAAGGATGGCTGGGTAGGCATTGAGAACACAAGGTTTGGAGAGCAATGTGCTCTTGATCTAAAACTAAGCGACATACTGATGAAAAAGACAAACATGGGGGTACACCGATGGGCAGCTAACAACTTGGGAGAACACAAGATGATACTAACTACTAAATCCTCAGATCTATCTGTTTTAAAAACACATACATTAAATTCAAACATTCGAAATCTCGGCTAGCCAAGACATATCTAACGGGTATTGCGGGTAGTTCTCCTCGGGCCCTGAGGGATGTGGATAACTCAGATCACGGTGTAGGATATATGACCAAACAACATGCTCGATATCATGATAACCACTGCCACACGCACATAAATTGCTTCCTGAGAGCCCAATTCGATAGAAGTGCAAGTCTAACGAACAGTGATTGGACATAAGCCTTGACATAACGCGTATAAAGTCACGGCTCATGTCCAACCCTTTGAGCCATGGTTTATTTATTTATTTATTTGCAAAGAAAAACCTATACTAGTGGGCGCAAAACCTCATCATTTCAGTACAAACAGATAACATGGAATCCTACAGATACATTTGTTTGAACTAAGTCCTAAACATATAAAAAGATATTAATGATAACATAATTAACTTAATTTAAATACAGAAAACAGAATCGTGAAGAAGTTAAAAGTGTATTATAAAACAGAAACTTAAGACCCAAGCGCAATGACAGCGGAAGCGGAACGGCAGCGGCAGCGGAAAAGCCCGGTCTGAATAATCCAACTTGTCGGATTAAAAACTAGTTAGAACCAAATCGACTTCGGTTAGGCATCTTGATGTCATTTGTGACAACTGTCAAACTTTCCGTTTCCGTTCCGCTTCCGCCCACATTGCGTTTAAGCCTTTAAGCCTTACACGGGAGAAATTAAAATCAAAGCAGTTATAACATTTGTTGAAAATCTTGCACATTGCTAGTTAACGGCTCATTAGCGCCGTAGTTTGTGCGAGAATCCGGGATGTTGAAAAAATAATAAGAACGTAAATTTACGCGCCTGATATTGACATTCAACTGCTGCAGAAGTGAACCGCAATTAATGTCCGATCGTAGGAGCTCAGCGATAAAGGTAGCCTTAGAGACGCCTCGGCGAACACTAAGTAATTGTAGGGACATCAAATTACAGCGACTTTCGGAACAGTACTCTAATGTGGAGCGGACTAGCGAACAATAGAGTGTTTTTAAACAGAAAATGTCCCTAAAGCCTTTGGCGAAACGAAAAATGAAACCAAGTTGAGAAGATGCCTTAGCGGAAACATAAGCTACATGGTCCTTGAAGGTGAGTTGTGAATCAAGTAGAACGCCTAAGTCTTTAATGGTAGATTCACGGCTTAATATTTGCTCCTGCAGGCTTGTAAGCATAACAGATAGGTGATTTTTTCCTGGGAAACGTTATAATGGCACATTTGGAAGCATTTATAACCATGCTGTTCTTGTCACACCAAACAGTAAAAACGTCCAGCTGCTGCTGAAGAAACAATGCATCAGTATAGTTTGAAATCGTCAGCATAAGACAGCTTCAGGCAACGGATCGAAAAGTGAACGTCATTCAGATGCAATAAAAATATGAACGGTTCCAGATGACTGCCTTGAGGTACACCAGAAGAAAACAGCGAACGGTTGAGAAAAATTATCTCCAATCTTCACTGACATATGTCGACCGGTGAGGTATGAGCGAAGCCAATCAAGAAGGGAACCGTGAAAACCAAGTCGCTCTAGTTTGGCCACAGCAATCTCATGATTAATTTTATCAACAGCAGCAGAAAGATCGGTGTAGATAGCATCCACTTGATGACCTCTTTCCATCTCGCGTATGATTGATGATGTGTATTGAACGAGATTTGTAGCGGACGACATCTTCGGCATAAATCCGTGTTGTTCAGTCGCGTGTGTGTTTTAAATAATCTAGCACCACTAGTTCAAAAAGTTTTGAGGCTGCACATAAAGCAGCGATACCACGGTAGTTGGACACCGACTGCTTATTGCCTTTTTTGAAGACAGGGAAAACAAAAGGATCCTTCCAGCAGTCGGGAAAGATGCCAGAATCCAAAGAGAGGTTGAAGATGGATGCTAAAGGTGCGGCCAGCACTCCAATACAGTTCTTAATGACCATGGAAGAGATTCCATCAGGGCCAGTGCTGAAAGAATTTTCCAAACAAAGGCCTGCTCTACGAACATCATTAGTCGAGATAGGCGGATGCGACCCAACAGCAGAAAGTACGGGAACATCACTACGATGTGCTCGTTAGGTAAATTTTCTTTGACGAAGACACTGCTGAATTGTGACATGAACAGGTCAGCGATTCCCGTACATTGTAGAAGGTAAGCCCGATTCCTTCCGTTGATCGTTCACATGATTCCTGAAGCTCTTAAGATTTGCTTTGAGTTTAGTTTGTAGATGGCGCTGATGGGCTTGATAAAGCTGTTTGTTGAGCCGCTTATACTGTTTGTTAACGAGGTTGTACTTCCTCTTCGATGCATCCGTCCGAAGTTTACAAAATGTCTTCAAGGCAGCTCGTTTGGATGACTTCAGTCGCTTGAGTCGGTGGTTGGTCCAAGGAGGGTTACTAGATATGGGTGGAGTTGTCATGGGTACAAACTGGTCGATCGCATATACGACAATATGCGAGAAAATAGAAGGGGCAGCATTCGCTTCACGATCTCGGAGTTCATCGTCCCAGCTGATGTTTTTGAAAAAGGTTGCCATCCCCTCGAAGTCAGTCCTACGGTAGTTATACGATACGCTGTCCACGGTAACCCGAAAAGTGCAAGCACAGACAAACAGACGTAACACTTCATTGTGTATCTTCGTTCACGCATTTAACGGTTGATTTGAATATTATAAGTTCCGCGAACTACTCGCCGCAGCGCTGGCATCGGATCACTTTGACGTTTCTTTACATTCTATAGAACTTTTATGCAATATTGTTTGCGAGTTAACGAGCAAGCTTGTTTTCCGCGAGAAGCCCGAGAGATGTCGTTACTGAGGTCCTATGTTTTGAGATACTATGTTTTCAAGAAAAACTTTTTCGAAGAGTTACGTCTGTTTGTCTGTGGTGCAAGCCTGATATAAGTGTAATGATAACTGCAGAGGTGAATGGTGTCTACAACGTTTAACTAGTGGTTCGGGTGCCTCTTGAACCGAGCAATTAGAAGCGAGTATACGGCTAAGGAAACATAGATCAAGCAGTCTATGATTTTCATTGGAGATCCCGTTCCGTTGCAGAAGATCAGCAGTATTGTAGCAATCTAGGAGAGATGCTACTAGACGTGTAATGTATGATCCATTAGAACCCTGTTTCATTCGATGACGAGTTTACTGAAGCAAGTTTGAAATCACCAACAACAAGGATTTCGTCAGTCGCATTCATCTTGGATACAACCCAAAAAAGTGAATCAATGTGTTGATCGATCAACTCAGAATCGCCAAGTCGATCCGGGGGTAAATACAACACGTAAATGAAGACCACTTTCAACGGTAGGGTAACAGCCACCCACACCTGTTCGACACCTGAGCTATTAGGTGGATGATATAACCGAGAGTTAAAAGTAGAACGAACTGCTAGCAAGACACCACCGCCGGAAGCTTAGGAGCTAGTAGCTCGAGAACGATCAGTGCGATAGACCGTAAAATCCGAACTAAATGTTTGCTTAGAAAGTGTGTTGCTGTTCAACCAAGTTTCGGTGAAGGCGTACATATCGTAACAAGCATCTGAAGCAGGCCAATTTGTACTCAGCTACAGTTGTATTCATGCCTCCAAAGTTTTGGTAATACAGCAATATTTCAGCTCCCTGAATCCTGGATGCGTTACGGTTGTCATTAGAGTCATCATGGTGGGGAATGACTGAAATTGTCGAGGGACTATGTACGGATGTGTAGTGATCATTTCCCGCTTCGACAGGACATATACAATTTGCGCAATTACCTGAGAAAACAATCTCAGTAGCTGATTGCTTCTTCCGAAGGCGAGGCTCGAATGGGAGAATAGACCTGTGGGACCGACACCTGTGGGAGAATAGAATGTAACCATCTTCCCAAATCACCATCATTCCATTTTGGTTGCCAACTGATGAGGACTTGCTGAGACGAGCAATGGAGAAAAACTCGTTAAAGGCAATTTGTCGCTAAAAAATATCGCCTTCCATAGCGCCCACCTTAGCCAACGAGTCCGCTTTCTCATTACCCGGAATTGAGCAATAAGATGCGACCCAAGCTAAGGTTATAGTATAGGAGCAGTTGGATAAAGCACTCAGTTTAGATCGTATTTCAGGCAGGAAATACGAGAAGTGCTTCATCGACCTCATTGAACGAATAGCCTTCAATGAGCTAAGACTATCCGTAAAAATTTAATAAGGGTCAGAATGTAGTGAAGCAATTCGCAATATAGCTGCGAGTTCCGCAACGTATACGGAGCATGGTTTTTGCAGTTTATAGAAGGCGCTATGAAATTGATTAAATACACCAAATCCAGTAGAAGCATTTATGGTTGACCCATCTGTAAAAAAAAAACTTTATCGTTACTTACATGGTGGTACTTGATTGCAAAAATTGAGGGAACAACCATCGACCGATGGTGATCTGATTTTCCATGGATTTCTTGCATCATGGTCAGATCAAAATTTACAGAGGAACTATAAAAGGCTTGAAAGCAATCACGATTGGAGATTAATGAAGAAGGACCAACCTCTAGCGTCATGTACTCATAGTACAAACTCATGAATCTTGTTTGAGGATTTCGGTCGAGCAGCTTCTCAATGTTTTCTATTACCAAAGGATTCATTACTTCACAACGGATGAGAAACCGGAAAGACAGCTCAGCGAAACGATCTGTGAGTGGGAGAACACCCGCGAGTACTTCGAGGCTCATCGTATGAGTCGAGTGCATACAGCCTAGCGCAATACGAAGGCAACGGTATTGAATCCGTTGCAGCTTAAGGATGTGTGTTTTTGCTGCGGATTGTAAGCACACGGCGAATGAGAACGACTCAAATTTGAGTTTAGTTCACTCATAATCGCCAAAAGTGCAGGAACTCAGCGATAAGTTAATTTGCCTCATGTTTTCCCAGGTTTTTCCAGGATTTTCAAGGGAAAAATTCCCGAATTTGAGAAAAGTAAAGATTGGATTCACTCAGTGTATTGGTACTACTCCGAGGCTGAATAAAATTTTCGTCAATTTCCTCATTTTCCGGCATTTCCACAGGAAACCATGAGACAAATTTTACTCATCGCTGAGTTCCTGCACTTTTGGCGATTATGAGTGAACTAAACTCAAATTTGAGTCGTTCTCATTCGTCGTGCAAAAGCTGCCGTAGTCTAAAACCGAAAGGACGGTTGTTCGGTACATCTTCCGGGTGGGCTCCCCACCAAGTTCCGGTAATTGTACAAAGAAAATTAATCCTTTGCTGGCATTTTTTGTTTCAGATACGCAATATATTTCCCCCCCTGTGCAATTGGAATCGAACCACACATCAAAATACCTAAAAGAAATACTTTGAGTGATTGTTTTACACATTAGCTGAAGCTGTAACTGTGCAGGATGATGCTTCCTAGAAAAAACAACCAACTCAGTTTTCTCCGGAGAGAATTCGATACCCAGCTTCATTGCCCAAGTAGACAAATTGTCTAAGGTATCTTGCAATGGTCCTTGCAGGTCCGGTGCACTCGGCCCTATAACGGACACAACGCCGTCATCTGCAAGCTGCCTTAACGAGCAATTTTCATCAAGACAACCATCAATGTATTTTACATAAAAATTATAAAGAAGGGGGCTTAAACATGAGCCCTGGGGGAGACCCATGTAACTAATTCGTGAAGTTGTCGAGTTTCCATGAGAAAAGCTCATATATTTCTCAGACAACAAGTTGCTCAAATAGTTGTTCATAGTTGGTGAAAGCCCACTATTGTGGAGTTTATCCGAAAGGTCATCGATACAAACAGAAGCAAAAGCCCCCTTAATGTCCAAGAAAACTGAACCCATTTGCTGTTTTTGCGCATAAGCCAGTTGAAAGCAACGCAATACAGTCGCTCGTTCCTTTGCCTCATCGAAATCCAAATTGCGTATCTGAAAGTAGACCATTCGACTCGACCCATTTGTCTAGACGAAAAAGGATAATTTTCTCCAACAATTTCCGTATACAAGACAGCATCGCGATGGGACAGTACGAGTTATAATCCGTCGCGAGTTTACCGGGTTTTCGAATAGCGATCACTCTTACCTGCCTCCAGTCATCCGGAACAATGTTGTGCTCCAGAAAATGATTGAATAAGAATTCCACCATCGAAAACGGGGAATCTATTGCGTTACTACCCGACGAACGATCACGGACGTTGGTTTGCACCGACACCGCGCGAAGCTGAATATCCAACTGTCTTAAATTGATATCTCATTTTACTACAATTAAATATAAAATAGGCCATTGTAAAACTTATGTGGCGTGACATTGGGCCAACAGATATCAATATATCAGTGCCAACATTTCAAAGGGGCGTAATTGTATATGTAAACAATGGCTTTAGCCGTCGATTTCACACAAAGCGTGAAAGTGTGGAAGCCTTATTTTTGATGGTTGGTTGGTGTCTTTATTAAGGAGATTTTCAGCCAGACGCTGGTTCATCTCCGGCTTATTTTTGATTATTCTCATTTACACCTAGCAATTTCAAGAGCACAAATATCAACTCTCACGAAACATACAGCAAATAAGGAGTTCCAATTTCATGAGCGGTGTCGCAACAGTGTCCGAGATTTGGGCTCTAGAAAACATGAAGGGATAGGTCTAATCAGCCATCTTTGGACTCTTCAAGGAATCACCTTAAGCCTAATAAATTTGTGAAATTCTAATCAATGCGGGTATTTCCCATTATAAGCTGTTTATATGAAGTCGGATTATTGTTTTTTTGTATGGAGACGCTTCATACGTCTTGGTTAAACTATATTTAAAGATAATCTCTATCACTTCCAGACCTGACCACCACGCATTCGAAGATGACCAGCTCACAACCGGTTCAGCGATGCATCGTCCCGGGCTGCAAGAACTTCCTGCAGGAATGGTACGCCCCGTTCCCCACCAACCTCCATCTGATATCTCGCTGGAAGGAGTGCATCGAAGTCGGCACCGGTCAACTGTTGCCTACAATAAGTCGCATCCGTAAGAATCGCTCCGTAGTATGTAGTATGCATTTTCTTGGCTATGATCCGGACGATCCGCCGTGCTACCGGCAACCAATGCTGTATTTCAGGTACTTTAGACTATGGACAAATCCCAAGATTTAAATAAACGAAAAACTATTTATTTTCTTTGCAGAGACGACTTAGTCGTGGAAGTCGAACGTTGCTGCATGTGCAATCGTATGGACATCAAGGAGAACATGACGGAAAAGGATGCATCCATATCCGAATCTTACACCTTCGAACAGATCGCTACGCAGTATTTTGGATCCGGCTCCTTCGACGAAAACGCAACGGAGGAATACCTCTGCGAAGAGTGTGTCGTCAAATTGGACATAATGTTTAAAATTCAGCAGAGCACGTCCATTGCGAGGAAGGAACGGGATGCCTTGCGAGCTCGGATGACTAGAGAGAGAATCCTGTTCAAACAGAATAAACTTCAGCAAGGTATCATTATCTCTCAGAAGGATTTAGATGCAGTAGTTAATAGTGAACGAACAACTTTCGTCGACGAAGATGATTACTCAAGTGACGATGCAGCTTTAGCGCCGCTACTATCGGAGATAGTTAAGCCCAGAGGAAGATATGCGCTCAATCCGGAGTTAAGGGAAAAGTGGGAAAAATCACGTCTTACATGCTACCTCTGCAAAACAATCTACGAAAGTACGGACTTGCTGTTGAGTCACCTGATGCTGACACACGTGGATCAAGAGTCTCTGCACTGCCAAGAATGTAATATTAGCTTCAAGCGCTCACCGGAACTGAATGCGCACCTGGCAAAGCATGACCCTGAAGGGCGACCATTCAAGTGTAGTCACTGTCCGCTGAGATTTGCCCAGTTGTCCGGAAAAACTAAACACGAATCCGACCATCACGATCCTACCAAGATCAGGAAAGCTGCCAAGCCCAGACCGAAGAAGTTCGTGTGCTCCACCTGCGGTAAATTATTCCGCGACCGAAATGACTTGGGTCGTCATGAACAGTTCCAACATAAGGGAGAACCTGTTGTTCACTGCGAAACCTGTAAAAAGCCTTTTGCTTCCAGACGAAATCTCAAACGACACTTGATGCTGGTGCACCGCGGGGAACGACCATACGAATGTAAATATTGTAAAGTTACTTTCAAACAGTCTCAGGGACTGCTAGACCATGTCAACGAAAAGCATCGAGAAGAGAAAATAAGGGATAGTGAAAAAAAAACCTACGCTCCAGACTATACTTGCAGTGTGTGTACCGAAACGTTCGTGTCTCGCCGTCTATTGGCTCTTCACAAGAAGAAACATCTGCTTATCGAAAGTAATGGGTCTAGTTCCCTCATTAGACGCAATGCAGGCGAATTAGGAAAAGAGCTCGTTTGCAACCTATGTGAAGGTATATTTCCCAAGGGTACGCACATCATCACACACTTTCAAACGGAACATCCCGGTACTAAGTTGGATTACTATCCATGCAGCGTATGTGGGGAAATTTACTTCAACAAACAGCAGCACCTTATTCATTCCTACACACATACCGACAAATACGCCTGTGATGTGTGTGGCAAGCAGCATGGTAGTAACGATCGACTTCAGCTGCACCGGCACACAAATCACGGAATTCCCCTGGCGGAAGAGTTTCTCCGCGAGTGCCCCCATTGCAATAAGAAGTTTTACAAGGGCAGCTACTATTTCCGACATGTCAAAACGCACTCGGAAAATCAATGGGCTTGTGAGATTTGCAATAAAAGCTACTTGCAGAAATTCCAACTGACAATCCATATGCGCACCCACACGGGCGAGAAGCCGCTGGTTTGTCCCGGTTGTTTGAAGAACTTTGCAGATCCCACTACTATATGCAAGCACAAGAAGCAGTGTGATCTATTTCAAGAGCTAACCCAACGAAAGGATTGATTGTTGTAAGAAATCTCGATAATAAAGATACAAAAGAACATTTTTAGCGGTAAGATTTGAACAAATTACGTTCGGTTGTGTGTTTTTTTTCATTCGATGACATCTCTGTTCTATGTATAATGTCCTTGAACTTAAGATCAAATGATCTATTAGAACAACCACAAATGAGACAAGCAATGTTATTATTAACGAAACATTTTTTCCCTTGATTTGTTTTCCGTCGATCTTGTTTTCCGTGCTGAGCACGAATGCTACCGACGCCAGGGAGGTAGCTCCCACCCTGCCTATCGACCCATCAACTCATGAACCGGAGACCAACGGCTTTACTTCCCTTCCGAAGGAAGGCGTGATCAGAGTTGTTATTCCCCAGAACATCCCGGTGGCTCCGACTGGGATTGAACCCAGGCCTGCTGGGGTGAGAGGTTATCACGCTTACCACTACACCACCGGCGCCGCTATTATTAACGAAACATGTCCAAGTAGATTCATACAGTTATGCGCATCATTTACGATTTGTTTATATGTAAATCAGATGTTCTAGATTCAATGTCCGTCGTAGTGAAAAATAATCCGAGCAGATTCATAGAGTATGCACAACAATTTATCAAATTATCCTGGACTTTAGGACCAGATGATTCTCTAGATAAATCACGACTGGTACAATGCCCTTAGCAAACAGATGTAAGCAAACTACACATAGGTATCGTTTATGATCAATTTCCATGTTTTTAAGATGTTCTAGGTTATTCAAATCATCCTGGAGCTCAGATCAAATGGTGTACTAGACTACCAAGGACTAGTACTCTGTCCATTCCCGATCTGAAGGGCAGATTGCTTCCAGAATGGACTCACTCCGAAATGAAAGTCCAGAAGCTTGACGACCGATCTAGACCATTCTGGAAGGTAGCCAAGGTCCTGAAAACTCATCCCAAACCCGTTCCACCTCTCAGAAACGAATATGATGACGAGCATGTTGCTTCATCCGCAAAGTCCGCTCAAAGATCAGGTTGCGCAATGTGTTCAAAACCTAGATGCATCCACTTGTGTCGTGCGTCCGGCGGATATGATTCCAGAACAAAAGATTTGCTCAGCGCTGCAATGCACCAAGAACACCCGGGTTTGACGGTATATTCAACTTAGTCTTGAAGAAACTCAGCATGAAAGCTTTTGTGACCGCTATCTCCAACAGATACTTGGAGCTGCACTACTTTCCAACTGTCTAAAAGGTTGCAAAAATCATACCAATTCACAAACCCGGTAAGGATCCAGCATTGCATTGTCTTCAAGTTATAAACCAATCAGCCTCCTTTCAGCGGTGAGCAAATTGTTCGAGAAACATTCGCCTTCCGGAACAGTTAGGGTTCAGTAAGGGGCACTCCACCAATCATCAGCTAGTACGGGTGATGAATAACATTCGAAGTAACGGAGCTATATCCAAGTCTACAGCCACGGCATTGTTAGACGTCGAGAAAGCGTTTGACAATGTCTGGCACGATGGGCTTGTATACAAGCTTTGTAACTTCAAAAGCTCCTTTTCCGCTCGCATGTAGAGAAAACCGTAGTGTTCTGCCCTGGTTAGGTGTCTGTATCCGCTGATTTGCCGCAGTCTCTTTTTTCCAATTTCAAACAGGTCTGTTAGGACTAGGAACTGTAAATAATAATTAAAATTTCAAAAGAACTAAAGTTGGAAAAGACGCACTGTCCATAGCAACGAAACAAGTCCAAGCATCTTCAGAGGTTTATGGGCATCATTTAACATCCATTTCATAGTAAATTAGATGTTCTAGGTAGTGAAGTTTAATTCACTCGATCCACTAGATCAACCACGACTGGGACAATGTTCTTAGCAGCGAAGCATATTCACACGATTCCCAGAAATATGTCGGTTGCTTTGAGATGCAAAAATGTCTCTTTGAAAAAATGCTAGAACAAAAGATGTTCCATACAACCTAAAATTATCGAAACCATCAAAAAAAGGTTCTGTTCAAAATCAATAGGATGCTAATTGTATTTTTTTTTTCAATAGTTCCTTAGTAATCTCAAGAATACGAGAGTAACACCAACCGGTGGAAACTAACGATTTTAAATTGGCTCACTACTTGACTAGCCTATTGGTTCCATGTATAAGCTTACCCCATTCTAGTCGAAATTCTAGTACTACACTATGTTTGTTTTGGTTCGCTATGAAAATTTGACAGATTAAATGCGGGGTTCGTTGATTTTCCTATGTTTCGAGGGGTGCACCGATTAGCTTGGGACCGAAGATAGTACCAGAGCTGAGCCAAAAAGTTGAGCACGTTTGTTCGGGACCTGCTGGCCTTAGAGTTACCTCTATGGTTATTTCTATGGTAACATATTGTAGTACTAGAATTTCAACTAGAATGGGGTAAGTTAATCGATTTGCTTTAGACCAATAGGAATGTGATACTTTAATCGATTTGCTTGGGACCAATAGGCTAGTCAAGTAGTGAGCCAATTTAAAATCGTTAGTTTCCACCCGTGGGTTGATCCTTTGTGCTTCCTTATGAATGGCAAGAGATGCTTTTTAAGGCACTCTTCCGTGTAAATCGCACCGTTGATTGTTCCACATCCGCAAATAGCCTGCCAGATCAGGAACTTCTTTGCAAATTTCGATAATTTCTTCTTTCGAATAACCTCCGGAACATCGAACTTAGACTTGGCAACGAAATATTGGCTTTGACGTAAGTTTCGTGATCCATCACGATGAAACACGATTTGGTGAGCAACTTCGTGTAAAGTTTCCGGTTGCGGGTTTTCGCAGTGATTTTTTGCTTTTCATTCCGATTTGGGGCTTTTTGCACCTTGTAAACATGTAACCCAGCTCGCTTTATGGTTTTCTGCCCAAAACCGACTGACTCCTTGGACTTTTGAGCGACATCTCGAATTTACATGTTTGAACGGTTTTTGAACTGTTGCACCTTTTTCCTGGCCATTTTACCACAAACGAAGCTACAGGCGACTAATACCATAGAGGTAACTCTAAGACCAGTGGGTCCCGAAGAAAATCATTATTATTTTTGGCTCACTCAGTACCAGAACAACGGTCCCAAGCAGTCCCAAGCTATTTCACTCACCCCTGCATGTTCTGCATGAATCCACACACCCCTGATGTTATCTGTCAAACTTTCATAGCGAATCAAAACAAACATAGTGTAGTAATAGAATTTCAATTAGAATAGGGTACGTTAATCGTTTGCTTGGGACCAATAGGCTACTAAAGTGGTGAGCCAATTTAAAATCGTTAGTTTCGTATTGATTGTTGCTAATACCATAGAGGTAACTCTAAGACCAGTGGGTCCCGAAGAAAATCATTATTATTTTTGGCTCACTCAGTACCAGAACAACGGTCCCAAGCAGTCCCAAGCTATTTCACTCACCCCTGCATGTTCTGCATGAATCCACACACCCCTGATGTTATCTGTCAAACTTTCATAGCGAATCAAAACAAACATAGTGTAGTAATAGAATTTCAATTAGAATAGGGTACGTTAATCGTTTGCTTGGGACCAATAGGCTACTAAAGTGGTGAGCCAATTTAAAATCGTTAGTTTCGTATTGATTGTTGCTAATACCATAGAGGTAACTCTAAGACCACTGGGTCCCGAAGAAAATCATTATTATTTTTGGCTCACTCAGTACCAGAACAACGGTCCCAAGCAGTCCCAAGCTATTTCACTCACCCCTGCATGTTCTGCATGAATCCACACACCCCTGATGTTATCTGTCAAACTTTCATAGCGAATCAAAACAAACATAGTGTAGTAATAGAATTTCAACTAGAATAGGGTACGTTAATCGTTTGCTTGGGACCAATAGGCTACTAAAGTGGTGAGCCAATTTAAAATCGTTAGTTTCGTATTGATTGTTGCTAATACCCCGTTCACATTACAGCCTATATCACGTAATATACACAGCAAAAAAAGTTGTTGAATATTACATCGAAACCGCTGCAACCAGGTCAATCCATCGGTTGTGTAATATCACATTGTACGATGTACATCGATTTTGCGAACAAAATTACATCCATTGATGTAATATTGTATCTGCGTTTTGCTATTACATCATTATTTCATACATCAGCTTGAATTACGTTGATCGATATTACATTTTTTTTTTGCTGTGTAGGTTGTCTTGCAATGAGCACTCATAAATAGGATTTCCAGTGAAAACTAGATGTATGAGTGCTCATCTTAGAGGTAACTCTAAGACTAGAAGGTCCCGAAAGAATGTGCTCAACTTTTTGACTCATCTCTGGTACTCTCTTCGGTCCCAAGCCAATCGATTCACATTAGCTCAAAACATAGAAAGATAAACTGAATAATGATGCTAACTTAAAATTGAAAAAAATGCAGATGGGATTACCGGCAAGGTCCCGAAGAAACGAGCTCAACTTTTTGGCTCAGCTCTAGTTCTACTATCTTCGGTCCCAAGCTAATCGATTCACCCCTCGAAACATAGGAAAATCCACTAACCCCTCATTCTATCTGTCAAACTTTCATAGCGAATCAAAACAAACATAGTGTAGTACTAGAATTTCGACTAGTCAAGGCTAGTCAAGTAGTGAGCCAATTTAAAATCATTAGTTTCGTATTGATTGATGATAGAACCAAAAGATTCTTGTACATTTGGTGAAATTATGGTACGTAGACGATCAGAAGTGATGTTTTTGTGCTACAATTTATTAAAAAATGTAAAGATGCCATTTTGAAAAAAAAAATTACCAGATCTAAAATGGCCGAATTTTTGCAAAAATGTGAATGATTACCCATAACACACAATTATGCAAAGTTTCATAAAAATCGGAGAAGGTCAAGTCATTTTTTTATCCTGAAAATTGTGAAGTTTGATCGGGAGAATACTAGCCTAAATATAAAGGTTGAACACGAAAAAAACCGGACACATTGAAAACGCTGCCATTAAGGCATTTTTGAGCAATTTTTTTTTTCAAAATTTCGCTGAATCAAGCTAAGAGTTTATAGAATCACAGTAGGCATTGGTTG